CATTCTTCTGTTGAGTTGCTCCCGAGTTTCCCAGTCCCAATCCTCCGCACGCACGGAGTGTTGGGAGAGCAGTCCTCGGAACCGCCGTCCACATAGCAGCACCTGTTCGGGTGTGCGGGCGATCAAGTTTTTAGGGAGCATCTACGCGACTGCTCTCTTCTTACTGGTGACTGCCGACGTCTTCTTCTTCTTCTTCTCGGATCGTCTACTCCCCGGTAGACGTTCGAGTGACTGCATTGCGAACATCGTCCTGCATCGACTATGATCCACTATTTCGAGCAACACACGATGTCGACTCGTGTGAATGGAGCCACCAGTGCCTTGAGCATGGGTCCTTCCATTGGCTAAAATTCTAATCTTCCTGTTTCTATATTCAGTAAGGTTTTTTGTGCTCTTAAACAAGATCAATATGTTCATCATAGTTGCCACTAGTAGTTCACACGTGCACATATTTGTTGTCACGAATTTACTGCTATTTTTCTGAATTAAATTAAACATGAAAATGCCTAAAATCCTAACAGATGGTGCATGCATTTAGGATTTCAAAGAATAATAAAATCATAGTCAAAATGGCATTAGTTTTTACTAAACAAACTTTAAGAAACTTATGCACTTAATAAAATATAATAAGAACCACACATGCACCCAAACAATTGCAACGTGAATCTTAGTAAAATGGAGTGGTCCCATTTTTCATATAACGTGTAGCATACACTCAATCCAATTAACCTATTGTTATTGCTCTCTGAATAGTCGGAATCAATCCAGATACAGAAACAACCGGAAGCTACATGCAAGGCCTTGGTACAGCTAGTTTATATATTCGACAATAAACAAGGGTTGGACCACAAGTGCAGCTAGCAGTGATTGGAGGAATCAGAAGTACTCTCCCTTGGGCCGGGAATACTTTGATGCTCCCGATCGGAGGGGGCAGAAAACATTGTCTGAAACGCCGTCATGATTTAGCATCCATAAGAGATAAGATTTTCCTCTCAAAAAACCAACAAAATGCAGAAGCAGCCTCAACCAAAAACAGGCCCATTGTCTAAAACGCCGTCATGATTTAGCATCCATAAGAGATAAGATTAATAAGAAAATGCAGAAGCAGGGGCAAGTACCGGGGCAACTGCATTCTGTAGGCGTTGGAGACAACAAAAGTGAGAGGAAACAGATGGATCATTTACAATAAGAAATTACAAAACTTTAGGTGGATGGCATGATCTTTCACCTTAATTAACCGTGAGGACGATCCGATTGATGACGAAGATGAGCACAATAATATCTGATACTTACATTAGAAGAATTAGAGAGAGGGAGGGTGGTAATGCGGTATGGTAGGCGCTTGTTGGCGGATGCAGCATCATCAAGATTCAAATGCATCTCCTCGATCCAAATCAGTGGTTTATTTGGGTCGATGGATTGTGAATCTTGATGATGCCACGCCCGCAAACACCGACTGTGTAATGTTGTAGACTAATCCTAAGGCTGAGTTAAATACATAATCTGGAGTCTGTTGTGGAGCTATAACGTTGCAGCTCCATCTATATATGCAGGAAGATATATATACGGCATCGGTGAGAAAGAGGTGAACGATGGCAATGGCGGTGGGTGGGTTGGTGAAGCTAGCGGCAACGCGACATGCATGCTTGATGCGCTGATAACTGCTACAAGTCTGCAGGGTATGGCAATTAAGATGGTGAGGGTGAGTGATCAGACGAGCTAAATATGTCGATTAGATATATAGGCGGTGCCATTGGTTGAGTCAGTATCAGATTAATCAAATTGTTAACCCATGGTTCAGACAGAGTGGAGGCAAGTTCAAGTTGGCCGGTGCGTGCGTGCGTGCATGCTCCGTCCGGATCTGCTGTCAAAAGCTGCTGGCGATAGCTTGCATTGCATCGCATGGCGCGCACACGCCTGGCCACCTGATGACGTGGACGGGGCCCACACCCTTGTTTCCTTCCAATCAATTTAACCATTGCCGACTTCGATTGCTAATTACACGATTCATATGTCTAGGGATGAAAAACGGTATGGAAATTTTCTGAACGTATTCAAGATCAAATCTGTTTAAAGGACTTCAGATCTATCCGTATCCGAGTCTAGATATTCAACATCTGATACAGTATCCATATCCGAATACTCAAATCGCATATTTATGATGTCGATATTCAATCGTATCATATCCGATATGGTTGACACTATCCATATTTGAACCGAATCCGGACAGAAATATGAAAACAAATATAATACCAGTGATATCCGTTCGTATCTGATCCGTTTTCATCCCTATCCGTAGGTACGTTGAACGATGCATAACAGCCCAAAGCTTAGGGCGCTCGCAAATAGTCGGCAATGGTCCTTTCTTCTAGACCAACTCGCTTAAATAAGCATTCCCATTTCCCAACCATAGGGCCAGGCACCGATTGGGGTGTAAGAATATATTCCGATTCTCGCAGGATTCAGATCCAAACGATGCTTCTACGAAGTGATTCTCCCTTGAACACCTACAAATTTTTCTCTATTTTGATTTTGAATTAGGAAGAACAACCTTCCATATAGGTGTTTTGTAATGACTCTAGTTTATTTTAGAATGGATTTGGAACTATAGCCAAATGGTTTCACCAATTCTTATTACTAAGCGGTTCTGTTCAGCTAAGAGATTTCTTTTAAGAAAAATCTAAATCTAAAACATTTTTAGAAGAACATGGATCCTACTAAACCCTTCGGAGGCAACTCGTTTCTGGCGCTCTCCCACAATTCTACCCAACCTCTATGCTCCGATCAGTTTATTTGGAGGCAATCGTTGAACGGACCGGAAGATACTCAGCATCATCTGCCAATACACTATAGGGCCTTCTTCGAAGGATTATAGTTTCTCGCTAGAGCAATGGAACTTTGGTGTACTGCGGCGCCGCGCACATCGAGTTTTTCTTCTGGCTTGCTCTTCATGGTGAGTTGTACAATTGTAATTGTCGTGACCTCGTAGCTTCATCTTGCTCATAAGAATTAGTAACGCTGCCCAGACAATGCTCATGAACATAAATGATAGCCTGACGGGAAAGGTCACCGCTCTAGTCCTCTCTCTTGCATCTCCAGGGTTTATTAAAGATGATTGCCGCCCAACTTCATTCTGCCATCTTTCGATGGTGCCTATAGGGAAAAGGAAGCTCCTGGAGAAGATGGCCTCTCGAGCCGCCTTCTCCTCCTTCATTTTCAATAAATTTGGGAAGGAAATACCTACTGCCCCCACCTGTGTTGAAGGCTTCTCTCTTGTCACTTTTGGGAGATGTCGTTCTCGTCTGGTTGATTCTTTATGGGACGAATGGAGTATACCTAAGGCCAGTCTCATTGGGGGTGTTTCATATCTCAGTTTTCAAGACTCTGACGCGGCAGAATATTAGCTCCGAGGGGATAAATCATACCACATTGTAGTTTAAGTGGGTAAATCGTCTACGAATATATATATTTTTTAAAAAACTATCCAAATAGTTTTTGGAAAATTTATGCAATTAAAAATTATAAAACTAGTTTAATTTTAGAAATTTCATAGAGATTTTTTATGTTAATAAAAATATGAAATATATTATAGTTTTTTTCCTAAACTCATGTTCTGTATTATGGTGCTTAGTTTAGAATTATTTTTTATCTCTTATGGTCTTCCTTTGGTGTTTGTTTTCTAGTAGGTTCTCTTGTTACATATTATAATTAGTCTATGTGATGACTTGGACTATGTGGAAGGCCAAGTGACTTTGATCATAACACTAAATTTCATATTGCCATTATTCATGGTTATATTTAGTATGAGCACAATTGTTTGTTGATCGTGTTAATTAGTTCCATTTGATCATGTTATTGTTGCTTAATTCTATCTATGATCATGTTAGTGTAGACAACATGGAGTGACACTTGTTTGTATACGATCAAGTATGATGTAGTTACATAATACTTGTATTGTTGTCAAAGTTGGTTGAAAAAATTCTACATTTTCTACGTTGTTCAGTTTGTCAACGTAGACTCATTATAATAGACAACAAAAACATTTACTCATAAATAGATACCAAGATGACATCATAAAAGTCTCAATAATTTCAAACTAGAAACCATAAGGTAGAGCTTGAACCAATTTCTTATTTTTTTCAAGCTAAAATGAATTTCTACGAATTTTCTTTGATTAAAGAAGAATTTAGAATTTCAATTGCGTAATTTTTTTAGAAAAGGTATTTTGGTAATTTTTTAAAAAAATATCTGTAGCCGGAATTACCCCTAAACTATAGTTCAATTGACTCTTTCGCGATGACTTGACGCTAGGTCAAAGAAAACCGCTGATGGAAACAAAAGATTGTAAAAGTTTTTTTCGCTACAACAAGTAGGACAACCATTAACAGCCCAAGAAAATACAGCCGAGTAAACTTTGGTGCAATGCCACGTTTTTCTTTTTTAAAAAGTTCAATTTATCTTCCTCAGCAATTGCGGTCGTCTGATTTTTTTCCCTAAATTACAAAACAAGTTTTTTTATCTCCCTCAACTTTTTAAACCAGTTGTTCTGTACTTTGAGTGGTTTTGATGGGATTTTCTGATACGACACCACGTCAAAGAGAGTAAATCAGACTAAGCTGAAAGTTCAAGAAAGTAAATCAGGCTAGAAATGTTTTTTAGAATTATTTAAAGTCATAAAAAGAATTTTTCTAAAATTTATTCAAATATTTTTACATGAAAAAATAATGCAATTAAGAATCCTAGAATTAAGTTTAACCTTAAAAAATTATAGTTGAGGGAGGTAAATTGTTTTTTTTTTTACTTTTTTTTTGTGTTCGCCTATTTATCCGGGCCTTATATATTGGTAATCTCATTGGGCCTCTTCTGGGCCGGGCCGATCGCTCGAGTGGTGGAGTGGACTGTGGAGAGGACTGGTGTTCGCTTCCATAGTTCCGTTCCGTCGACAGCTCGACGCCTTCACTGCTCCGCGCGATCCAGCAGAGCCGCCGCCGCCCGCCGGAATGGAGCCGGAGCCTGATCAGCTAAAGGCCGCCACCGGTGGGGGCCACCGCAAGCACCTCGCCATGCTCGAGCGCCTCTCCAAGCGCTCCTCCTCCTCTGCCGGCGCCCCACCCTCGGATTCCTCTGACGCCTCGCCCGTCGAGGCCTTCCTTTCCCGCTTCGCCGGCGCCAAGCTCGACACGGAGTCATCACTCTCCGCCTGCCGCTCCTCCTCTTCCGGAGACGACTCAACCGCATCTCTGGCGGCTGCTGCGGTCGCCATCGATGGCATCGATCGCCTCATCGCCGAGGCGTCCCATGCGCTGCCCCCCTACGAGCTGCGCGCCGCCCTCGCCACAGCCGCCGACCTCCGCGCGGCACACAGGGTCGCCGCCTCTGAGTTCCGTCCCAAGAAGTCCTTCTCCTTCAGGAACAAGAACAGGAATCTCAAGAACCCGCCTCAGGATCATGTCACCGCATCGCCACCGCAGCCACCTCCTCCGGAGCAGCCGAAGCCTAGTCTGGACGCGATCCTACCAGGGTTCGGGTTCCGGGGCAAGAACGGCGCCACCTTTGTGAAGGATCTGCGAGTCTCCAACGACAAGGATGGGGATTTCACGCTCGCGGATTTGGTTTCCTGCGAGGTCTATCTCAAGGGCAAATGCCGGGCTCTGTACATCCACAAGCTGAGAGATTGCCGTGTGTTCGTTGGAGCTGTTCTTGGTTCTGTGCTTATAGAGGACGTCCAAGGCTGCATATTTGTGATGGCAGCACACCAGATCAGGATTCATGAGGCGAGGGTGACGGATTTCTACTTGCAGGTGAGGAGTAGGCCTATCATTGAGGATTGCAGTGGTGTAAGATTTGCACCATATGTTTTGAATTATGAAGGGATTGAAGAAGATTTAAAGGACTCTGGACTTGAGGAGGAGACCGGTAATTGGGCTAATGTGGATGACTTCAAGTGGCTCAAGGCAATGCAGTCACCAAATTGGTGTTTGGTTCCAGAGGAAGAATGGTAACATTTCGGAGGTTCATGAACAGGAGGATGATATCTGACCTGCTTTGGCAGGATTGCTGTCAGCTCTCATTTTGGTTTGCTTCTATAGATTCATTAGTTTATTTAGTATAAACACAGTTGTTAGTTCATCGTGTTAGTGTCATTTGATCATGTTATTGTCACTTAATTCTATCTATGATCATATTAGTGTAGACAAGATGGAGTGACACTTGTTTTTATACTAAATATGATCAAGTATGAGGTGGTTACATGTTGTCAAAGTCAGTTCAAATTCTCTGTAGTTCGGTTTGTCAACGTGGACTATAATAATAGATAACGAAAGCATTTACTAACAAATAAATACCAAAAGCACATCATAAAAGATTCAAATAATTTCGAACTAAACACCATAAGGGAGAGCATTCTGGATGTAAGCCACGTCACATGAAAATCATTTTGTATGCATGTAAACTTCTGGCTCTTCATCAATCGTTGTCTTCTCCTGAAGTTCTCTATAACTCCATTGGTGTCATCTTGTGTGGTGTGCATGTGTTTGTGGCTGTGACTGTGATCCCTGAGACTTTATTGTTCAGCTTCTCATCTGTGGACTATATATTCAACTAGAAAGATAGGCACGCTTCGCTGCACCCGTATGCTAAGAGCATGCATATTTGTTTGTTTAATTAGTCATGCTTAATTAGGCACTGAGCTAGATGGTGCCATGCATATTGAGGCAGCCAATTCTAGATGATGCCGCTCGTGGATCTTCTAGGTATGAGGAATCTTCATCTGTTGTTGCTGATCTGAAGAAATTCAGAACTCAGCTGGCTGCCTTTGATACCATTTTGTGGCATGGAAAGCAAAAGATGCTAAATCATTAGAGGACGACCTCACTAGGGCTGAATGCAAGCTTGAGCTGTCAATGATCCAAACATGCAAAATAACTAAGGCGAATCAGATAACCTCGGTGGTGATTTGAAAGCCATCTGGAAACAGGTATTATTTGAATATTTAGTGCCTATTCTTTCTTGGTCCTTTTTTTTCGATCAACCTTGGGGTTCATTCATTCATCTATTAAAATATAAGGATCAAGCTAAAATTTAACACTTAGTCCAGTAATCTTTATGCCTCTTGTTGACATCTTCAATAGTGAACTATCTTTTGAATTAAGTTTATGATCCTCATCCAGGTTGTAGAAGACCAGAAACTGAGGGAGAGGATTCAACACCTGGGCGGTCAAGCTGGTATTGGAAGGATGGAATCTGCTTTGTTTGAAACACGGTCAAAGTTCTTTCAAGCAAAGGAGAACAGGTGGTCTGTTGCAACTACATTTGCAAAGGTAGCATCTCCTTCAGTTACAATTCTTCAGGACAGTCTAATGTTTCTGAAACTGGGGAGAATTCTAACATGGATGCCGAAAAGACAAGTTGAGTTGTTAAATCTCTGTTTGGAGCTTCGTCTTCACCATATGAAAGCAGCAAAGGAGGAAAGCTGATGAGTAACGCAGCACCAGAAAAAATGCATACTGAAAACGAGTAAATAGTCAGTGAGATACTCCATGGTATACATGATTCTTTTGCTGAAATCTCTGATGGTACTGTACCATTGGAGGTGATTTCAAGGTTAGCTCCAATCTTATTGTACAGTTCAGTAACACAAATAATATAAAATTTACAATGTATATGATCGAAGATATTTTTATCAGTTTTGAGGATCTTTTTTAGGAAAAATTAACATATCTGAATTCAGGGTGTTGCTGATGTATTTAACATACTTATGTTTCGTTGGGTCAAATGTCATGTAATTTGCATTAAGAAACAAACATACATAGAGTAAACCAATTAATCCTCAGCAATGGTCAGAAGTGCCAATGAAGGGCGGGCATGGTGCAGAGCGGTAGAGTCTTACCGCCTGTGACCGGAAGGTCCCGGGTTCGAGTCGCGGTCTCCTCGCATTGCACAGGCGAGGGTAAGGCTCGCCACTGACACCCTTCCCCAGACCTGCACAGAGCGGGAGCTCTCTGCACTGGGTACGCCCCTTTTTAATGGTCAGAAGTGCCAATCCTCTGGCGCCAATCAATCCTCATCTTTAATGAACTTGAGCTATGGACTGGGTGACAATGCCACTTATCCGTGTTTCTAAACAACACCTTATGTACTCTTTAGTTTGTACCTATCATTTTCTCCTGTAGTTCTGATTGCACATAGAACTTCTTAGAGTTCCCAACTGTCATAACAGGTTCAGCCACTTGTTGCCACCCTCCAAACTGCCCATGCAGTTCCCAGGTCAGCTACAAATCTGTGATACCTGCAGCAGGTATTTTCTTTGCCCCCCCCCCTACCACAGGTATTTACCCATATTCATGGCTGATGTTGCATATTGTGATATTGTGAAGCAGACAGTACAGGACTACCAGAATGTGTAGGGGAGAACTTGGCACTTGGCTGGCTAATAAGGATTGGGTTGTTACAGCTCATCAGCAGCATGGGGGGTGTACAAAGGGAATCAGTTCCTGAGACATTTATGCTCAATTGGTTGAGGCTGCAATCTGTTCAGAGTAAATTTCAACAAGTGATTGTGATAGTGACAAGGTGAACCATTATCTGATTGTTCCATGTTTCTTTATCATATTGTTGTAGCACCATCATAATTTGCTAGAATGGAATGACCAAACCCAATTACCTTATTTTTCTCTTGTTTGCATCAAGCTTGTCTTGCATCAGGTCTTATTGAGTGAGAACCCAAAGATCACTCCTGAGCTGGAGAATGCTGACTTTGGAACTTTTCAACGTCCTCACAAGGCTACTACACAACTTTCTAGATGTTGGCACTGAGAAAATCATTGAGGGCTGAGGCTATGATGTATTCATCAACCTCAAGTAGCTCATCAGACCATGAAACGATGGATACAAGCAACCTGTTCGGTTGGCTGGTTCGTTTCGTTGCTGGTTCGTGAAGAAGTACTGCTGGCTGATTTGTGTGAGAGAAAAATACTGTTCCGGCTGGAAATTTACGATCGTTTACGACAAGCCACAGCCAAACGAACAGATTGAAGGGAGGAGATACTGACACCATCTTCAAGAAGGTTTCTCGGTTTATGTACTGTGCGTTCCGTGCAATCACTCTGGGTGGCAGTGGGGAGAAGGGTCGATGCTCGACGATGCATCCTTGAGGCGCATTGGGGTAACAAAACTCACTGCACGGGTAAAGATGGCAACGGGCAGAAAAAACCCGCGTACCCGCGGGCACCCGACCCGGCGGGCGCGGATACGGGCGTGAATTTGTGCCCGCGGGCACGGGCACGGGTAGAGAGTTGTGCCCAACGGGCAAACCTACACGGGCAAGAAAATACCATGCCCACACCTACAAACCCGCCAAATCCGCACTGGCATGTGGGCCATAGCAGAAGCGATATATATACTTTAGTTTTAGGGTTTCCATCTCAACTTCCTAGTCCCCACTCCCTAGTTCCCCACCAGCACCGCCATCGCCCACACGCGACTCGTGAGTCCGCATCGGCAAGACTGCGACCCCACATCGTCGCCTCCCCATTGACCCCGCATCGAGCTCGCGCGTGTCGTGACTCTGGGCTCCAGCCTCCCCACTCCCGCGTAGTCCCCTGCCCGACGCCTCCTCCACTCTCTGCACCTTTGACGGACAGATGCCTCCTGCTCCTCCATTCCACGACCCCGGGCGCCTCACTGCTCCGACCCTGCCGCGCAGGCCGCCGTCTCTGCCCCACAGGCCACCATCGTCTTCCCTGCCACGCAGGGCCACCATCTCCGCCTCGCAGGCCGCCATCGTCTTCTACGCCGCAACTTTTGGTGAGTATGTGGGCATGCCCGCGGGCGACCCTTGCCCGTGGATAGCAGGCACGGGCACATGTTGCTGCCCGTGGCGGGTGGCGGCCACGGGTGCGGGCATGAGATTTTTCTCGCGGGCGCGGGTGTGCGAAGCCACTATCCGCGCGGATATTACCCGTTGCCATCTTTATGCATGGGGCACGACTGGTGAAGGCAGCTGAAGTGCTTATCAAAAGTAGCAATGGTGTCAGAGCATGTACATGGCCCATGGTCTACTAAGGGCGTGATTGGTTGCTTCGGGGTAGGGGATTTGGGATGGAGGACTGGTCCTGGGTGGTGTGATGCAGGCTGAAACCATTCACCTAGGTGTATTTGGTTGCAACTTTGGGATTGGTACTGGATAACAGTTAGTTTGTTTGGTTGCCAGCTTAAACCAATTTGAGGAATGAGCTGGTACTACTAGTTGTGTTTGGTTTGGCGCATTGCACAAGGTGTGAGCACCCATGTATCACTTTGGTGAGGTTACCACCATTTTTATCAGAACAAGCATGGGAACACAAACATTGCCTTAGATCAATTTATATCATCATCAACTAAGACCTTGGAGCATAAGAGATGTTACAAAATAATACAACAACAATGGTAAGAGGCAGTTCTTCCCACGTTTAACAATGTAAAAGATGAGCTCAGATAACAGAGGGAAAGCCACCTATGTATCAACAGACAGTGGTTAACATATTGGCCTCATATAACAGTTCTTCATTGGTTGACCTTGAGCTTGGAGCATAAGAAACACAGAAGGCAACACACAACAATGGTAACAAACAAACATGAACCAAATAGAATAAGACCAGAGTTCCAGTGCCTCACAAGCTCAAGGTCATTGGGTTTTTGTAATCCAGTACACATGGCGGTTTAGTTATCATCATAGGCTTGACAAGAATATCAAAGCTGCAGTCACCTCATTCTATCATGGAACTAGAAACAACATAGGCTTGAAGATCTTCGGTTTGGATGGGACCAAATCGATGATCCACGATGAGGTGCTTCATCATCAACATATCACATTTTTTTGACATCACAGGCAAAAGAAAGTAAGGCCCTAGCTTATTGAAATATTGGTACAATTCATAAATACTCAATCTTAAGTGGCTGCCAAGACAAACATAAACAGAGACGCATGAAAGCCCTAATTTGGTTTTGGATAATTGATGAAACCTATGTACTAACCTTTGTCATCAGATGTGATATGAGCAAGGTTGGTGCAATCCAAGTGATGGAGCTAGGTGGCACTAAAGTGATGGTGATGACCACATGAAATATTGAGATGGTCACATGTGATGATGATCAAGTGCTCAACTTGGAAAAGAAGAAAGAGAAAAACAAAAACCTATGAAGATCAAGGCAAATGTATAAATAGGGATTTTGTTTTAGTGATCAAGACACTATAGAGAGTCTGATCACATTTAGGGTAGATGGCCGTACTATCAAGAGGGGATCTATACTAGACAATTTGGTCATCTAGTGCCACTAGGTGTTGGACTTCATGCATTGCATTTAGGCCTAGTGTGCAATCGGAGAGCAAGCAAAAAATATTTATTGAAAATGTTTTAAGAAATGCTAACTTGGCTCTAACTTGTTTTGAGAAAACATTTTGAGAGTTAGCATCGCTTGCGAGAAGTTGCTCGAGTTGCCGTGGTTTGAAACGCAAAAAGTTTGCAACTTGGAGAACTAGTGGAGGTGCCTGGGTGGCACCGCCACCTCCTGTCTGGTGCATTGCCACCCCTAGGGTGGTGCCCACCTGGACGTGGCCGAGTAGGGCAGTTTTGGTGGTCACCGAACACGCCGGTGTACACCGCCTCAGGCACGGCGGTGCACCGCCACTGGCTGTTCGGTGCCACCGTCACTTAATTCCCGAGAGCAGCGAAGTCGAAGTGGGGCACCGCCATGGTCACCGCCATGGGTACGGCGGTGCACCGCCCCTTTGAAAGCTCTAGTTTGGTTTTGGTTAATTGATGAAACCCTAAGTGCTAACCTAGTTTATCGAAGTGATTGTGAGATAGGTAGCACTACTCCAAGTGATGAAGCATTGGTGAAGATCATGACGATGGTGATAGCATGGTGATGATCAAATGCTTGAACATGGAAAAGAAGAAAGAGAAAAACAAAAGGCTCAAGGCAAAGGTATAAATAGTAGGAGCCATTTTATTTTCGATGATCAAGACACTTAGCGAGTGTGATCACATTTAGGTTAGATAGCCATACTATTAAGAGGGTGAAACTCGTATTGAAATGCGGTTATCAAAGTGCCACTAGATGCTCTAACTCATTGCATATGTATTTAGGATCTAGTGGAGTGCTAACACCCTTGAAAATGTTTGTGAAAATAAGCTAACACATGTGCACAAGGTGATACACTTGGTGGTTAGCACATTTGAGCAAGGGTAGGAAACTTCATCGGCGGAGTGTCCACCCGTAGAGTGCGAACAGTCCGATGGTGCCACCGGCGCCCTAGACAGAAAAGACAAAGGTCACTGTATGTCACCGGACGCTGGTCTCAGTTGGACCGACGCGTCCGGTGAGTAGCGGCAGTAAGCGCGTGTTTCGGTCTTCGATCGGACGCTGGCAGGGTGCGTCCGGTCAGTGCTGACGTACCCTGACGTGAGGTGCACAGAGGAAACGTTGAGTGACCGAACATAGGGTGTGTCCGGTCGATCATGACCGGACGCGTCTAGTCGTGTAAATTCATGTTTGGAACCTTACTGGAAACGACCGGACACTGAGGTCCAGCGTCTGGTCACTTTCTAATTGACGCGTCCGATCATCTCTTGACCATTGAAATCGGGCGATCGACGTTTTAAGCCGATGACACGTGGCGCACATCGCACGACCGGACGCTGAGGTCCAGGGTCCGATCAATATGACCGGAGCGTCCGGTCGGCCCGTGTTCAGTGCAGTGAGGAGCCCAATGGCTCTATTTCGTGGGGGCTTCTATTTAAGCCCCATGGCCGGCTCAAGCTCACTCTCTTGGCCATTTGCATTGACTTAGCAACCTTGTGAGCTTAGCCAAATCCCTCCCACTCATCTCCATCATTGATTCATCATCTTTGTGAGATTGGGAGAGAATCCAAGTGCATTGCTTGAGTGATTGCATCTAGAGGCACTTGGTATTCGTGTTTCACTGTGGGATTCGCTTGTTGCTCTTGGTGGTTGCCACCACCTAGACGGCTTGGTGCAGCGGTGGAGGATTGGCACGAGTCGGTGATTGTTTGTGGCCATCTCCGGTGATTGTGAGGGGATTTGTACCTTCCCTAGCGGAGCGCCAAAAGGTAACTCTAGTGGATTGCTCATGTCATTGAGTTACCTCACTTGTGGGTAGGTTCTTGCGGTGTCCAAATTGTGTGGACGAGGTTTGTGCAACACCTCTTAGCCGCCGAACTACCAAGTGTTGGTCGACACAACAGGGACGTAGCGTGTTGGCAAGCACGTGAACCTCAGGAGAAAATTGGTTGTCTCTTGCCATTTGGTATTCTCCCGGTGATTGATTTAATATTCACCTTATGATTGGTTCACTCCTCTACACGGCGGTATAATCACCCTACTCACTCATTTATATTCTTGTAAACTAGTTGTGGCAAGCTCTTTAGTGTAATTAGAATTGAGAGCTTGCTTTGTTAGTTTAAGTTCATCTAGTGGAGCTCTTTAGAGTAGCATTTTTGAGAGCTCTTAGTGAGTAGTAACATTGCAAGTCGTGTGCCTAGTAATCATTACAACTATAATTGTTGGATAGGT